TACAATCCCAAGCATAGAGTGTTGGAACAATAGAACAGCAGAGGAACTCACACGCGGTTGCTGTGTTTGTCGCACTGTTAGGCACGCCATAGTTTGGCCAGCCTTCTAATTGATTTGGGACAAGTTTGGATTGAAGCTTTGGCTTCCCGCTACCGCCACTTGTGAAGTTAACGCAATTAATCAGTTTTTCAACGCAGAAGGTGCGAATCCAATCAAAATTCATTGCTATGGAAAGTCGTGTATGGAAGTCAAAAACGTCAGTAACTGGACTCGGAAGTTTACAGCAGGTCACATGGAACTTCATGAAAACGACTAAAGAAGCGGCAGAAGTCAATCGTCGACGAGAAGTGAAGATAGAATTTCGTAGCAACACGTCGTAGGGTCACCTTTCACAAGCTCTGCATTTTTGTTCCTGAATTTTTATAAAGCGCCTTCCATACGAGTTTGACTGGGATGCGATTCAGCGCGATGGCGTAGCGAACGAAACGGTCCGACGGTTTTTCACAGGAGAGAGCGGGCTGGAAAAGGAATGAAAAAGGAACTGCCGCAACAGCTGAAAGAACGTACCGGCCCAAACGGCAATGTTAAGGGAACCTTGAGGAATACTCATTTCTCAAAGGAGTGCTTCATATAGCACACTAAAAACAACTTATGTTTTCATTCTGAGAGGCTACATGGCCGGGTGTGGGGCAATACCTCCCAGTCGCGGAATTACAATATTAGTTGCCTAGGGAGAAGGAGTCCAACCAGTAAGTGCTCAGTTATTCTCAAAAAAGTGAATTCGACCATAGAACTGTACACTGGGCGACAGCAGACTGGGCGAGAACACCCAGCCACTGCCCCTTCCTCCTGGCGCGCGTCCCCTTCTTCAACAAAACGGGGAGAGATGCGCAATCAAGGATGACAGAATTTCGAGTTCCTCTGATCAGCAAACTATCGCTCATTGAGCGTTTAACAAAATACATCCCAGCAATACGTTTGATATTGATTAGTACATGTGCAATATAGGACATTGAAACAAGCTTGATAAGCCAGCCAATTCCAGATAGGTGGATGACTTGATTACTCAGCGCGGGTGACTATCCAAGACCCAAACCTCGGACCGTATGCTTGGTAAGCGACGCCACTTGCCACCTATACCACCTCCAGTCCTATATTTTGAGGATGCCGTGCCGGAAAATATGCGGAGTATAGGACGAGGCATGACTCTCATTGACAGAGTAGCACGTTGCCGCGTACGGGGAGGGCGCAGCGAGGACGGAGAAATTTTTCTATCTCTTCGTTCAAGACCGATGTCAAATAGCCTTCGCAACATTGTGTGTCGAAATTTACGCTGCATTCAGGGCACATCATTGGTTGGGGATTTTAGTCGAGTCTGTACGACCCCCCCCCTTTTTGGGAGTTGGTACGACCCCCCCCCAGCCCTCTGTCCTTCCTCATCGAATCGAGCCGTCGAGCGGGGGGGGGTATAGTACTTTTTACCAAAAATTTTGCTGTCGGGGGGGCATATAGTACGTGAAACAGGAAAATCACCAAAAGTCAACCGCCACTCCCACAACGCCAAAACGTAAATACGACCCCCCCCCCTCCCAAAAATGACCGAGCACGACATTCTCTATCATCCTGAAGAGATCAGGAAGTGGACGTTCTGCTGTATAGCCTGTCCACAAAAGTAACTCTATTTGGGTGCGCTTATCATATTTCCATTGAGTGTCCTGTGTAATTACAGCATTTTCCCCTCTAGAAGAAGTAACTGAGTCGACGCGGCTTACAAAAGGAGCATGGTGGCAAAAGGCTCTTATAGATGAGTTTTGGAGGTCATTCTAGAGTACTTGATGGGGCAAAAAAAAGGATAAAGTCTTCGCCGTTGATCAATCCCTTGTGGGATGCGGCACGCATTCTACTTCCATTCAGAATCGTAGTGGCTTATTGAATGCGATGTGGCCTATACAATGACTTGCGGGGGCCAGCCGATGTACAAGTCAGTGTTTATCCTCCCAGACGAATCTGGTACCAATTTACCGTCCCCGGAGAGTAGGCTTGGTTGGACCTTGGCAGGATGTCGACCCGGTATTTGAACCCTGGACCACGCGGGTGGTGACGCCACTTGCACTACACCACCTCCTGCCCTTGATGGGGCAATATCGTTACAACAAGCACCCCTGATCACGCTGATTTGTCAGTCAAAATCGGTTCGACTAGAGTGGATCGGCTGCCTCAGAAGGGATGCGTCTGTCGATACCGTCCAAGTTGAAGTTTCTTAACCAGGAACCAGGCCATGCAGTATAAATCAGAGATGAGGAGTGATAAGGATGTGGTCTCACATCCATTTTCGTTCTAAATTTTGTTTGTGAATCGAAGTCATATCGCTCTGTAACGTACGATGAACCCCGCGAACCTATTAATTTCTTGTCTGCTGATGTCCTTTCTTCCCACCACCCCCTACAGGTGTATGTAACCTCAGGTAGAAAGGTTCAGCTCCGCGAGTGTCCCGTTCGAGAGGATGGGTGCCGTTTGAAACATGCTTTAAACCTCTCACCGAAAACAGAATCATTCGTGGGCGAATAAGAACTTGTAGAACTCCTATCAGGGTTCTACAGAAAGCCTTAAAATGAGTTGAGGAACATTTTGATTTGTCCAGTAATGGCTCGTAGACGACAACCAGCATTATGGATACTTGGAAGCGGACCCTTCCCTCGGAAATGAGCACGAGACAAGACAACTACAACGCTTGAAAATCACTTGTTATACGAATTTGTCAGTGGGAGCCCGCCGAAACACATACTTTCTCCTCAGAAATTCATTTCCTCAGGGTGGTCTTGTATGGGTCGATGAGATACGAAGTAATACCCTATAATCAAGAGCTGAATGTCTGATCACAGACATTCAGCTCTTGATTGTAGGTTATTAATGGGCGCTTGGCGGGGTAGTGCCCATCTCTTAATCTCGAAACACTTTAGGCCTCTGAAGAAGACGATTAGTCGAAACGTCAGGCCGTTAATAAATAGTTCCACCTAAAAACCTCGTGAGGCACAATATAACATACTGAATTATTGAAAACTAACATGCCGAGGTTACAAGAAGAGAGAAGCTGGAGAATATCTGATCGCAGAGTTGGACCGCTGTCGAACATCGCCGCGAGACTGACATCCCTGCTGCAACCGCTGCCCGAGTTAAGTCCGAAAAACTGAGGATGGTCAAGATTGAAACCTCATTCCCTTGCAGAAGCACGAACACAGATCTGATTCGATGCCTCTGGCAGCAATGTTGAAACCGCAACCACTAACTGCAATCCACTGCGGGATCCTTGGTACTGACGCAAGTGCTGCACATTGAGGATAACGTGGGCGGAGTACGGACTCGGGTACCACCACCCTACAGCCCCGTTCTCGTGGACTTCCGGACTAAGAAAGTGGTACGTTACTGCAGTTGTGGGCCCATTCACCTCGGATATGGGATAGACCGTAAAAGGAGGTGATTGTGCTGTTTGTCTCCAATGCTCTAAAAATTCTTGCCTCGCCTTCGTCATATGGAAATGTTATGTTAACGTGGTTCTGCAGCTTATGAAGCAAGTACGCAGT